ATTTTTTTTTTTTTTTTTTTTTGCAAGATCAAGTAAACTACAAAATAGCATTATTATTAATACTAAAATGATAATAATATATGAGAATTATTTGAAGGATGAAGTAATTTACTTTGTTCCGGGCATATATTGTTAAGAAAAAACATATAGTACTTATTGTATCATTTAGTCTCCAATATTTTGGTGCTAAATCAATTTCAACATTCATCATCAACAAGAAGACCAAAAAATAATTCAAACATAAGAGAACACTCCTAAATTAAAGTATTTAATAGCTTTTTAAAATTTTAACTTTTAGTATACATAACTAATTAAAATTTTTAAAATTGTGTTCAATAACTAATTAAAATAAAATAAAATAACAAAAAAAAAACTATTCATAGACCAACTAAACACAAAATTAAAAATTTAGATTTACATCGTTTGTAAAAACTAATATGGTATACAATAGATCAATTAACTTTTAAAAATTTTGAGCATCTCCCATAATTACTAGACATAAAATTGAAAGTTTAGAATCTACTAGAAATTTTAAAATTAATAAACCTGGTAAACACAAAATTGAAAGTTCAAATATTTATATTATACATTTTCTAAAGTTAAAAAAATTAAAGGACTAAACTATAATTTAACCTCTATTTACCAGGAAAATGAAATAAAGAAAAAATATCATTTTGATCCTTAAATTTTTTTATATAGCTTCAATTTAGTCCCTAAATTTTAAAATATTATTTTATTTGGAGTTGAGTTGTAATTGTATCCTTAAGTTGTGAGATCCTACCTTTTTACCTTTTCTGAGATCCTACCTTTTTACCTTTTCAGTTAATAACTTATCGTTTACTTTTGGACTTTGGTATTTTGTATTGATTTAATTAATTAAATATTATGATGTATAATTTTTTTTAATTAATTGAAATAGTGATAATAATTAAACTAATTAATAAAAAATTAACATAAATTATCAAAAGTGATCAGTAATAAAAATTGAAGATAAGTATGTAAAATTTTGAAAGATAGGAACGAAATGAAAACCAAGCTCAAGAAAAAAACATATAAGATCAGATGAAATCTATAAATAAAAATAATAATAATAATAATAATAATAATAATAAAAAACTGAATGGCAAGAAATAATAAAAAAAGGCTAAAATAGTAAATAAAATGAAATACCAGGGCCAGCTTTGGAATTGCGGTGGTAATGATGAGTGGAGCCATCAGCATGAGCAGCAGACAAGAGTATGGGAAGGGGTGGGTGGAAGGAGAATGCTATGTGGTGAAAGACCGAATATTTGTTGGCGCGGCCCTATTGGTTCTCATTAATGGGGCCTCCACCATATCCTCCGCCGCCATTGGAAGGAAGAGCCACCCTAAAGGGCCCACTCAAATAAATTCACAAATTAGATAACCACGAGAAGTTAATATACATCACCCAAATATTTTTCCTTCTTTTTTTTCCTGTATTTATTCGATCATCAATAAAGAAAATCCCCCAAATTGTTCATAATCTCCATCTCAAAATTGAAATGGTAATCGATATCATTTCTAATATTTGTAGTGTTTTTTACTCCTAAAATTATGATCGAGCATATCTATTGCGTGTAAAGACATATATTTAGTCCCCTGAAAGTAGTATTTATAAGATTAATTTTTTTTTTAAGAAGCAAATTTTTTATTTTTTTTCATAAATATACATAAAAATCATGCATGCATCAAATATATAAGTTACAAAAGTCTACCCAACCCAAAGTGCACCAGGTGAAGGTGGTGAAGGAAATAATTACAAGGAGATGTGTGCATATGTCAATTCAATAACAGTAGGGCCACACAAACAAGAGGCTAAGATTCAGAATGGCATGCTCCCTTCAAGCCCTCTACCACCATTAATTGTATCCCTGTCCCAAGTTATTTGAGCCCCAGAAATTCTCACCGCGTCTAACGCCATACCCAACATTGCCGCCCATATGTGGAAGGCCTCCGCTTGTCTGCAAAATCCCGCTTTATTTCTAAGGAACTGTTCAACTTATCAGCTATATCAGAACAGAAATGTACAAGAAAAACAGAACGAGAGAAAACCTCGGAGTCAAATTTCATTGGCCTAGAGAAACGGCTGTGTCCATTCCTTGATCCACGTTCAAGAGAATTGCAGGAAATTGTATCGAAGAATTCATCCTTGTTATATGCAGGCTGCAAAAAGAAACCCAAGAGAAGAGGAAATTGGTTAATACCAATATAAAGAACGAAATGTATGACATTACTAACTGATCCAATCCATACCTTAGCTCTAGGTATCGCCCAATGTCTCTCTTCCTCGTCCTTCTTGAACTTCTCGTTCATGGCTTGAAAATCAAATTCTTCAGTGAACTACAATTAGAAGAGTATTGATAATCAAATTCTTAAGTGAACAACTATGTCCATAATGTACTCATGGGATTACAACAATCTATAATCTGGGATTTAAAGTTCTTGGTGGCAAACAGTAGTCTATATTCAAAGAAGCAAGATACAAGGAATTAAAACGGGAGCGCAGAAGAAGTATTATATGATGATAGAAAGAAATGCTTGCACGTCTTTCATGCCTGGTGATAAAATTTTGAAGGAGAATGCAGTTCAAGTTTAACCCCTATATGTTACTAGAGGCAAATGTTAGAAATCACGGACCTCTAGTAGTATGATATTGTTCATTTTGAGCATAAGCTCTCGTGATCTTGCTTTTGGTTTCACCAAAAGCCCTCGTACCAATGAAGATGGTGTTCCCTACTTATAAACCCATGATCTTCCTCTTAATTAGCCAACGTGGGACTAGTCCTTTCAATAATCCTCAACACCAAAAAAGAAGGCTTTCCACTCAATGGTACCCTTGCACATCTGAAGTATCATCTTTTCAAAGATTTACTTTAGATCCTATGATTGCGTCGTGCTTTTATAATTTTATCATTTTGGCTCAAGTTCTTCAAGTACAATGTATTATCAAATTATCAGATGTCAAAGGGCCGCTAGAATCTCTATAAAAGCCAAGCTGATGGATTTTACTATTAAGGAGCAGCGCTTATTTGATCAGGAAGGCAAGATTAAATGGCTTGAAGAAGGCGATGAGAACACATTCTTTTATCAAAGCGTTATTTCTACTTTATCAGGAGAAGACGGGATTTTTTATCCTCAGAGAAGGAATTTAAGATGAAAGTATTGGTTTGTTCCAGAGGCTTTATTGCAAAGAGAGCCTGAGATTCACTCTTGTTGGGATTGATTGGGCGCCGTTAGAAGCTCAGTGTCAGACTTCACCGGAAAGTCCCTTTCTTGAGGAAGAAATCCTTAAAGCAGTTCAATGCCTTAAATCTCCAGGGCCAGAGGGCCAGGTGGTATGACAGGCGACTTTTACCTAAAAAAAAAATTCTTGAAACATCTTGAAGGCTGATTTAGTAGTAGTGTTCCAAGAGTTTATTGAAAATGACTTTTTTTTTTTTTTTTAATAAGACCAATGAGACTTGTATTTGTTTGATCCACAAGAAGAAGAAAGCTTCTAGGGTGAGTGACTTCCACCCAATTAGCCTGGTCACTTCTCTCTACAAAATTATTCCTGAAGTCCCAGCGGAGAGGTTGAAGAAAGCGATGGCTATTACAATTAGCAATTGCCATGCTGACTTTGTGGATGTGGTGACAGATTTTGGATGCTATCTTAGTTGTATCGGAGACCTTGGACGAGAGGCTTTATTCTCAAGTTAGACCTCGAAAAAGCTTATGTTAAAGTTGAGTGGCATTTCCTAGACTTGATTATGGAGTTGAAAGGTTTTGATGTAGACGTTGGATTAAAGGTTGTCTCCATAACTAATTTTTTTGATAACGATAGGTCTAGAGGCAAGATTTTGGCTAGTAGAGGGCTGATTTTAGGGTCATCAAAAAAGCCATAAGAAACATGAGACATTTTCAGTGAGATCCATGGAACCACATTGTAACTTTCAGGTTATTACCAAGAATATCACCAACTACTGAATACTGATTATTCGAGAAGAAGAAAACACTATTCAATATTGAGCTCAAAACCACTTACTGTTCAGCATAAATCAACAAGTTATACAAAATAAATAGACCAAATGATGTGAACTACAAGGAAGTAATTATATGAAAAATAATTTAGAAAACTTTATAAAGGTAAAAACCTGTTGAGGAGGCATCTCTCTCAGAGATGGAAACGAGGGTGTTTGATGTTCAACCGCAGCAATTGATATCGAAGAATTAGAAGCACCCAAGTTCCTTGCATCAACACACAGTTTCTTTGTGGAGGAAAGTACCTCTGCCCCAGACTGTGATAATTGATAAGGAGTTAATGAAGGTGCAGGCAATGTGAGCAATGGACCCGAACCCGAAATAGAAGGTGCAGTATTCAGAACAGACTGCCTGGAAAGAATTGATGTTGGGTGGAATATAGGTTTACCCGTAATCTGAGCTTTGTTATTTCCAATTTCTTGCCAGACTGAAGGAAAGGAAGAAGTAGATGTCATCACTGTTGAATGAGATGGTGAACAAACACAACATGGTTGTGAACTATCTATTAGCTGATAAAAACTAGGACGTGCAAAAAGTAGAAATGATACAGGATCAGCACATGCACAATTCTAAGTTTTCAGTAAATCATAAGTCAATATTTAAATGATTTTGAAGAGTCCGTTGGTTCTCTGTTGCCAATTGAAATGTCAATGTACTTCAGAAACTGGTACAAAGGGATTCCCCATTGTTTTCCTTTTTCTTCTCTGACTGCTGCTTGGGTACAGAAAATGACAGTTCTGTATGGGCAACGAATAACTATGTAAAATGTTACCTGCAGCAACAGATTGATGTGAAGACAACTTGCTTGGATACTGTCCATTATTAAAAGCCAGAGAATCCTGGCTCTGATTTGAGACCGTCGATGTTTCACATCCAACTGAAGGATAGAGTGGTGAGGTTGAGAACCCAGCATGCTTCGACTGCATAGGGAAAGGTACATGAGATTATCTTTTTCATGTAAAATTGGGCTAATTCTTTCTATAATAATAGTCAAACAAGAGTACCTGGATCACAGAGCCATCATGAATCTGCTTGTCCATTTCAGCAAATGAGGGGGACTTGAGTTGCAGATCCTGTTATAATAAAAACCCTTTCTAAAATGGACTCAAACTATATCGAGTAGTTTTATTTATGAAAATGTATAGCAAATAGTGTGCACATACCCCTTACTGCATGCAGGGTTAGTTTTGATTTTTTTTTACAACAGAAACATCATTATCCTAGCTGACATTGAAAGTTTTAAGTGAGAAATAAACGGAAGCGTGATTTCATGACCTAAGAACAGTTTGGCACCCCTGAGCGGTTCCTAGAGCTCTACCTTAAGATACAAACTCAAGAAGGTAGGAGGAAAAACTTGGGGGATGCAGAAACCTTTTTTCAATGTTATATCAGGACTCATTTACTAAAATTAGAAGAGAAAGATGCCACAAGTTACATTGCTTTCAAAGGTTAATCTTTGAAGATATGCATCTAATCCCATGTTTCTTGTCTCTGTTCTATACACACCTTTCTGAAAACTTAAATGTGGTGAGGAGGGGAAAAGTGATCAATACTAGAACAAGGCAACGTTATATTTTAAATTTTAAAGCTCTAAACCAAATACAATCATAGTGCATTGGTCTATTGGGGAGCGATGAGATGGGAATGTAATTAAACACATCTGTGTTACCTTGATGTCACTGCCTCGAAACAGAATATACTCATACACCTCATCGCTCGGAAGGATCTGTGGACCATCGATCTTTCGTCCTTCTGTCCCATAAGATCTAACTGTAACAACAAATGATGCGACTCTTAATATTTAAGTATTGAATATCGTTCTAACACATATAGTGATTGACCTTAACAAATAATCTTAAGAAATTTGTCAAAATAAATCCTTATTCAATGGGAAGCAGGCGTTGCTAACAAAACCCGAAATGAAGTACATAAAACTGATCATACTTGTCAATGACTACACCAAATATATATATATATATATATATATATATATATATATGGAAAACCAAGAAGTAATGAATTTTTGGAATAAAAAATTAAAAAATAATAATAAGCAATCGGCGTTTACTGGCAGTGACCGGAATAGAATCGTCTGTGTCTAAGTAATATTATCTCCGTCTACAATACCAACTATTCTACTAACAAGTAATGACCATACATGTGCCAATAGCGACTGGTATAGACAAATTTCCGAACATTATAGAGAAAATATTTATTACATAAATTCAAACATGCAAACGCCGGAATTCAAATTACAATCAGAATAAACAGAGCCATGGAGATAGCTATAGAACTGGAAGCGAAGAGCGCTAAGAAAATCACGATTTCCTACATACCATTCGCCAAGCCGATGGTACACTCTTGAATGTTGAGGTGGTAGAGAATGCCTTCGTAACGAATCTCACATTTCGTAATCAAACTTATCGTGCTCCCGATGTATGATCCCACGGGACTAGCAGAAACTTCGGAGGCAGATTCAGTCGCCATCGATCAATAAAACCTCAAAACCTCGAGATGGATGTTAAATAACAGAGAAACGTGAAGTGAAACTGAAATTGGAAGAATCAAACTCTGTAACTCGCAGCGATCCTGACGATTAGGGTTTTTCCGCTGAGCTTAATTTGGAGCAACGTTACTATGCTTCTTCGCGATTCTTCGTATCGAAGTCTTTTGAGAAAGAAGGAATTTGGTTGACGCTGCCGCCAGGGGTAAGGTTATTTATACAGTGCTCGACTGGGTTGGCGCCAAAACCATTTGGCACGGTAACTTTATATTCGTTATTTTTATTATTTCTATTTATATCATAAATGGTTAGGAATAACGATCTCACAATGGTCCCTATATTTATGTCCCCTTCCCTAAATTAGCGAATCCTAACATAAGTATATATATTTATGTCACAACTTTTTTGATCGAGCTACATATTAATCATTGTTATGTGTGATGTCCTACGTTGGTTAGAGAGGAGAACAAACCACCGGACGATTTGCCAGCCTTCTCGCTATTCCCCAAAGGGGGGTAGACACGAGCGGTGTACTAGTAAGGATGTTGGGCCTTAAAGGGGGGTGGATTTGGGGGTGGTCCCACATCAATTGGAGGAAGGAAAGAGTGCCAGCGAGGACGCTTGGCCCCAAAGGGGGGTGGATTGTGATGTTCCGCATTGGTTGAGGAGGAGAACAAACCACCATTTATAAGGGTGTGGAAATCTTCCCCAGATGCGTTTTAAAAGCCTTGAGGGGAAGCTCAAAAGGGAAAGCCCAAAGAGGACAATATCTGCTAACGGTGGATCTGGGTCATTACAAATGATATCAGAGCCAGACACTGGATGATGTGCCAGCCTTCTCGCTATTCTCCGAAGGGGGGTAGACACGAGGCGGTATACCGGTAAGGACGCTGGGGCCAAAGGGGGTGGATTTGGGAGTGGTCCCACGTTGATTGGAGGAAGGAAAAAGTGCCAGCGAGGACGTTGGGCCCGCCCCGAAGGGGGTGGATTGTGATGTCCCACATTAGTTGGGGAGGAGAACAAACCACTATTTACAAGGATGCAGAAACCTTCCCCTAACAAATGTGTTTTAAAATCTTGAGGGGAAGCTCGAAAGGGAAAGCCCAAAGATGACAATATCTACTAGCGGTGGATCTGGGTCGTTACATTATGTCACAACTTTTCTATTCGTAAAATTAAATTGAGGAGAAATTTTTAGTGTTTTTGAACGATCTACCAACAAATAACGAGTTATGGGTAACAAATAACTCACTATCTTTAGTGTGAGAAGAGTGGTAAATAGGGAATATTCGAGATAAACATTTAAGAGGAACGAGTAAATAGGGTTGGGTATGGGATGGGACAGTGTTAGAGAAGTGTATACAGTTATATCCATTGCTTCATATAGTGATACATTAATTCGAAGTTGAATCGTCAAATGTGAAGATTATAACTAATAAGTACGTATCATCCACTATGCAATGTGCATAGTCAGTGGGGTCGTATGGAACAATAGTGGACATCGTGTTAAAAAAAAAAAAAAACATGAGTTTAATCTACACGACATGTCTCCTAGGTTATAGTTGATAATAAGTTTATTGCTTTGCACGTATGTGTGCATGAATTAATCTCGTTGCATACGAGAATGTCTCTTACCCAACATGACAGGTTCTCCTATAATTTAGATCTATTGAAATTTATGAGATTAAATTCATAGTCAATTACTTAATTTTAACATACGGATTACATCGACAATCTGACTGTAAATACAATTATAAAGTTAATTATAATATATCCGATGTGACGATGACATAAATTTGAAATAAGAAAATAAAAAAATTTGATGCTATTTTAAAGGCAGGGGCAAAAGAGAAATTTCACATCTGAAAATGTGAAAAAAAATTATTTTGTAATGAAGTTTTGTTAGAATTTGTTTTCCCCAAAAATATAATTCCTAAGGCATACGCGCACGTGATACTCGTTTTTTTTAAATAAAAAAAAGAAGAAAATAAAATTAAAATTACCGATTTTTCACCGTCTCGACTGTAAAAAAATCCCTGGAATCTAGTGAAAAAATCACCAGCTCAGTTAAAAATATGATATTTGTCTGAACTAAAAAAAATGAATAAAAAAATGTTTATAATTTTATAAATAATTTTTTTTATGTTTGTTAAAAATCAATTTTGTTCGTCACAGAAGGATGTGAAAATTTTCGATCTGAATTGACGAAAAACACACGCAACCGTACGAAGAAGACGAGTTAGGCAGAAGAAATCTGTCTTTCTCAGAGCTGTGAACACCACCTCGCTTTACATCTCCGACCTCCGGCGGCTACCGGCGATTGCTGTGTGGTTATTTGCACCGAATTTCCCAATTTCGGATCCAATTATTAATTTCAGAAGTATTGATAGGCTTAGTATTCTGTGGCGTTCTCTGATCATAAACCCTAGAAGTTTTATGGTAATTTTTGTGGATTTCTGTGAAGCGAAGGCTGTTGATTGGAATTAGAAAGTTGGAAGATGGAGCAGTTGAAGACGATCGGCAGAGAGCTTGCTATGGGGTCTCAGGGAGGATTTGGACAGTCGAAGGAGTTTTTGGATCTGATTAAATCGATCGGCGAGGCCAGATCCAAGGCAGAGGAGGAGCGAATTATCATTCACGAGATGGAAACTTTGAAACGCCGTCTCACCGATCCCGACATTCCGAAGCGCAAGATGAAGGAGTACATTATTCGTCTTGTGTATGTTGAGATGCTCGGTCATGATCCTTCATTCGGCTACATCCATGCCGTCAAGATGACTCATGACGACAATCTCCTGCTGAAGCGCACGGGTTATTTGGCCGTCACACTCTTTCTTCACGAGGACCACGACCTCATCATTCTCATTGTTAATACCATCCAGAAAGACCTGAAGTCCGATAATTACCTCGTCGTCTGTGCGGCTCTCAATGCGGTCTGTAGGCTTATTAACGAGGAGACTATACCAGCAGTGTTACCGCAGGTTGTTGAGCTTTTGGGACACTCAAAGGAGGCCGTTAGAAAGAAGGCTATCATGGCTCTTCATCGCTGCCACCAGAAATCGCCCTCTTCCATATCGCATCTCCTCTCCAATTTCCGAAAGGTGGGGTTCAAAATTTGATACTTGGTTGTTGGTTTTTATGCAATTCAGTGCCGGGAGTTGTTAGTTCTTTCCTTCTTTTTTTTTTCTTTTTGGTTGCAGAGGCTTTGTGATAACGATCCTGGAGTCATGGGAGCCACTCTTTGCCCTCTCTTTGAGCTCATCACTACGGATGTAAATTCCTATAAAGATTTAGTTGTCAGCTTTGTAAGCATTCTTAAACAAGTAGCTGACCGCAGATTGCCGAAGAATTATGAATACCATCAGATGCCGGCTCCGTTCATACAGGTCTGATAATCTCTGCATCATTAATAACAAAAGTCCCCTATAGGTTTCACTGTGCGTTCTGCTTGATAAGGTTACTTTGCTGCTAATTTGCCTTCTGCAAGGCCCCTTTTTTTTCCATTTCAATTGAACTGAATTTAACTGTACAGATCAAATTATTGAAAATTCTTGCATTACTGGGTGCTGGCGACAAGCAAGCAAGTGAACACATGTATACAGTTGTTGGGGATATATTTAAGAAGTGTGATCCTTTAAGTAATATAGGTAATGCTGTACTCTACCAAAGTATATGCTGCGTCTCGTCTATTTACCCGAATCCTAAGTTGCTGGAAGCTGCTGCTGATGTAATCTCTAGATTTTTAAAGGTTTGTTTATACTACCTTGTCTACTGTATGCTCTATTATTAGTATTAATCAACTGTGGCTTTGACCTATATTTACTTTACACAATTTTGTGGTCAGAGTGATAGCCATAATCTAAAATATATGGGCATTGATGCACTTGGTCGACTTATAAAGCTAAGTCCGGATATTGCCGAACAACATCAGTTAGCTGTGATTGATTGTATGGAGGTGAGTGATATTCTTCTTTCTTTGTCAGGTGGCTTGTCTTGATAAAAATGTGGTTTACATTTATGCAGATAGGCCCTTACATGTATAGTTGTTTGTTCTTTTTTGTTTCTGTGTTAAAATGGATTCAGCGCTATTCCAAATTTTTATTTTCAATCTCAAATTTAAAATTGGGAGGACAAGCATTACTGTCTCATCAAGCAACTAATAGTCTACTTATTCATGCGGAAGTGGCTTTCTCGAGTATAATTCAGAATAATTTGTAATTTATCCCATTTCAGTTACAAATATGTTGTCTACAGCTCAATATTCAAGGTTGATTTATATGCGTTCTACTGTGAATTATATTTGTTCCGATTGGTGTTTTGTTCCTCAGGATCCAGATGATACTTTAAAGAGAAAAACATTTGAACTATTGTATACAATGACCAAGTCCACCAATGTCGAAGTGATTGTCAATCGCATGATTGAATATATGATAAGCATTACGGACCATCATTATAAGACTTATATAGCATCAAGATGTGTTAAACTTGCAGAGGAATTTGCACCTAATAACCATTGGTTCATTCAGGTATTTGGACCCTATCTCAATCTTGTTTTCTTTTATTGAGTGATTATTATTACTGTTCTAGTTTTAGCAAAATCCCTTAATCCTCTTCAGACCATTAATAAAGTTTTTGAGCACGCTGGAGATTTGGTGAATATTAAAGTTGCACATGATTTGATGCGGTTGATTGCTGAAGGATTTGGAGACGATGGTGATACAGTAGATAACCAGTTGAGATCATCTGCGGTATGTAACTTAATTATCTCTCTCTGATATTTTCTTTGCTAAAATGTGAAGGCACGATGTTATACTATCATGTAATACACCTTTGTGTATCATGTGGTAACCTCATGCTTCATAATACCTATTCTTTTTAAAAAAAATTATATTGTGTGCCTCTTGAAAAGTCTTTTTAAGTTTTGGAGAGCTGTTGTCCCTCCCTTCACACTTTTAAATAAACACCGACTATTTGTGTTTTTGATTTACAATGATTGTTTAGCATCTCTCATAATCAAGCATTACCCTGGGAGCCCTTAGGAGTCCGAAAGTTTCTTTGCTGCTTCTCATTGATAATCAACACATCCTTTTGTTTCAAGACGTTGTTTCTTCCATCACGTTTATTGTTTTCGTTTAGTTTTGTCTAGAGAAGCATTTGTCTGAGTCCAAACTTATATTATATATATTGTTTTTGTTTCCCACGA